TATAATAAACTTATTTTATACGTTTGATACACACATCCAATCAAACATAATACGTGCGATATTATTGTGTATATTGTTTTAGACTTTATAATCATTATGGATATTATAAATATTAATATTTAATACTTTATATTTAATGTTAAACTACCGTATATTTATATACAAAATAAATATTAGATATTATAGTATTTGTAATCATTATAAACCTTTGAATACATGCCAAATTTAAACCAAATATGATTGTTGAATAAAATAGTTAATATGAATATTTGCTAAAATGCCCATAATAATCTATTATATTTTATATTTGAAATATACATAATTACAATAAACAGTATTTTTTGTATTGTTATTGTCTTTTTATTGATCAACATAATATTTCATAATAATCATAATTATTAGAATTATAATAATACACGTAAGTTATTATTATCAAAAAGAAATAATCGATTGCTTCATCATTTAATAAAAAATAGAATGTTGATTGTGAAATATTTTATTGTTATTAATATAATTAAATATTGCTTTGTTGTGAATATATAATTAGTGTATTGTAAATTGTTTTTGTGCATTTTGATGGTCACTTGTTTAATTGCTTTGTAATATTTAATAAAATTTGTTTATGTTGGCACGTAATGTTCTAGTAGTACAATAAATTATTTATATAATTTAATTTATAATACTTAATTATTAATTAATTAATAATTAAATAAGTGCTACATTATTTAAATAGCTTATGGGCAGTACTGGGCAGCTTCCACTAAAAAGTTTTTATTTTAGTTTTTAGCTAGACATTATTTTTGTTATATTATAGTAAATTGTCAAACATATGCACAAATGCCATTCCATTTGTTCACAAAACATTACCCATACTGTAACCCACCACTCTCAATAATTGATAATGACATATTTGGGTGCATTAAGATAATGATAAACTTATTAGAGAGTATGTTGCACTATAATGCGGGCAAATGCACGAGCATGCCCGCTCTGCTCAGTGATGCTTATGAGTAATTATATGATAAATTTGTGATTCTAAATTTTCAATAATATAGTATAGTTGTTATAATAAATAAATTACAAAAATTAATTAATACGACGAGCGTGCATATTTTTATGACTATTATAAAGAGGCTTAGCATGTATATTAACGAAATTATTATGCTTAATTTGAATATCATGACTTTGATTAATTTGCTTATTTACAATATTTTTAAACTTGTATTTTCCAAACAATTTTTGCGCGTTTTGAGTGAACATTAGTATAGAGAATCCAAACCATAGACTAATAACACTCGCCGTTAGTCTATGGAGCTTTTTCCATAGACTTAACATGGGCTAATGTTAATCCTATGGGAAATTATTTCCTATGGAAAAGCTAAATATGAAAGGAAAGAGTAGTTTTTCTCCATGTTAATCCTATGGGACTAATGTTAAGTCAATGGGAGAAAGCTTTACTATGGGTTTCTATGGAATTACAGCATAAGTCTATGACATAGGATTAGCATGGGCAATGCTAAATCTATGTATAATGCTAACTCAATGGGACTAATACTCATCCTAAGGACAATGTTGAGTCTATGGACAATGCTAAGTCTATGGGGAGTGCTGATCCTATGGACTCTTATTGAATGTGTAGATAATGCTAATCTATTCTTTGAATATCACCCGAATAGTGGTTAACATATAGCATCGCTGTGTGAACCTTGTTTTTAATAGATTGAAATATTAGACTTAATAAACATTATTATTTTAGATCCATTATTAATTATAATAATTATTAATTATAACCAACCATAATCTATTTATTAATAACTCTGACACTTAAATCAATCAAATCATATGGACAAACTTTATAATGCTAAAACTATTTGTTTGCCAAACCATCATCCGCCACGTATTAATACTACAACAAATATAAATTTTAAATCTAGATGCAAATCAAAAATTGGTCGAAAAGGTGGTAAACAGTATCTAGATTTGGCGTCCGGGTGTTTAGCAAGTGTGCGCAAAGTAACCCACGAGCTGTTACATGCGGTTGGTTTTCACCATGAACATTCGCGACCTGACCGAGATGATTATGTGGAGGTCATAGGCACGCTGGGCGGGTAAAACTGGGTAAACGAGGGTATTGGAGGGTAGCATACTTTATGCACCATTTCTAACCATATTTATGCATTCATATATGTTGTATGCAAATAATAGGAAAGGTAAATTGTTTATATTTAGTGAATTTAAATGTTTTAATTAATATTTTGTGTAAAAATTATGTGAAAAATTAGTTTTCATATTCTCAATCACTCTCTCAATTATTTTGTCAATAACTCACTCGGTGTCACTCATTTGGTGACAATATTGATAAATAAATGTAATGGCATTTGTGATTAACGTTTGGACAGTTATCATAATAGACCAAAAATAATGCCTAATTATAAACTTTTTTTGAAAGCTTTTTTGGAAGCTTGCGTGCTCCTGGTGGAGGTGCAATGGGCTAACTTAAAACCCGGGAACGAACAAAATTTTCAAAAATATAACGAATCTTTGTACCAAATGTACACTAAGTTTGATTATGGTTCCATCATGCTCTATAAGAAAACATCAATGAGCAAAAATAAGGAAAGTACCCTAATATCTAAACAGGCACCTACACACGATATTACATATACAAAAGCAATGAGTCCGTTGGATATTATTACGTTAAAAGCTATGTATAAATGTTGAATTAATTAAAATAAAGAATCACAACTATTTGTTATTAATTAAGTAATTTTTCCCAAAATAAATATTCATTGCAATTAAAATAACTTTTAAATCATTCTACATTTGAGATGCTGCCATAAAATTGCCTAAACACTAAAGACTAAACATTAATAAGTAACTTATCAAGTAAATTTAATTTTAAAAAATAGTCAATATTCATTAGTGACATCTAAAATAAATTAATATTTTTTAATTATAATAGTACAATATATTTAACTAGTAAGTTAGTAAGTAAGTATTTTAGATATTAATAGTAATGCCAATTAAATTAGTATGTTTTTAATAACGCCCAAAAAACAAATCAAATTAAATAATATTTTTATATAAATTAAAACATATTAATTAAAAGTGGCGTAGTCCAATTCATTCCATAGTAAAGTATACATTCCATACAATAGTATATAAATATTGTTTGCAAACAGTAGAGGAAAAGTGGAAAATAATTTGTAAGTACTGTAAGTAAACTGACAAACTTTTAATTAATCATGTTTACTAAATTAAAATTTTAAACTGATATATATATATAGCAATAACTTGAAATATGTTTATCTATTGGAATTTATGATCATTTAACATGTTAGTATTTGTAAAAACAAATCAATAGTTTGGCTAAATAAAGTTATACAAAATAAAGTAAACTACGCCACTATAGCTTAGTACGTCATGTGCCTAATTAAATAAAAATACTGAAATAGTTTTTTAGACAATAATACAATAACATGTAAATTGAAAGTTTACAAAATATTATACCAATCTATAAAATCCTGTTTTATAACACAATAGGTACATTTGAAATGTACATTGTAAAATGTATTTTTTTTAAAGCTCAACTAACTAAATCTATATTTTTGAAAATGAAAATCTTTGACATTATTCAATATGTGTTATGTTTGATGGGATGTGTTTATCAAACGTATAAAATAAGTTTATTATACTTTTCATACGAAACTATAACTAATGTTAAATACGAAACTAATATACATGGTATTCATTATCCGGCATTCACACTATGTATAGATAAATTTTATATTGCTCATAGCATTTTACGTTTAAATATTACAGAATCTACCTTATACAATCAGAATATTGGTACACAGCTAAAACAATTGTCACAATTTCAATCCAAAATAGACTGCACAATTGTTCTTGTTAATTTTGTACATTTACCATGTAAATTTGCTTATACGTATAAACACTCTGTAGATGTGCAATATTATTGTATCACGCTAAACTCAATGGACTTGACAAAACAGCCACAACAACTGTACCGTTCGTTTGAGATTGCTGATTTGTGGATTACATTTAAACGCCCTTCAAACAAATTTCATACTAGTGCCAAATTTTACATTCACACACGTGATGAGCGAATTATGAATAAAAACAAAAAAGGTCATTTAAATATTGAATATAAACCTGGTTCGATATACGAGGTTAGTTTCAAACAGACCATGCTTGTTTATAATGATTTAGTTAATAACTGCGTTAACGGTCGTACTGTACACGAATGCGAGTCGCAATGCTTATACGAAAAATATGAAAATAAAAGTACTAAGCTCATTTACGACAATTATATAGCCAGTGATTATCACGATCGTGATAAATTTAACATGTCTTTTAGCGGCAATATATTAATAAAAAATACTATAAAGAATGCTCAGATAGATAATCCAAAAATAAATGAGTGTAATAAACAATGCAGTAAACATATTAAATGCAGGCAACAATATTATGCTATTGACTATAATATTAAAAATATGAATAAAGATAATCATAAGTTCAATATAAAAATCAGATACCCTTCAGAGCCGACGACTGTATACGAGATATCACTGAAAATGTCTGCCGAAGAATACATTAG